TCTCCTCTTCCTCGATTTCCGTTTGAACTCTGGTCATACCACCATGAAGCACCTTTGTATCATCACAAAGAAATATACATTTTGTATATATACAAATCTTTTATTTTACCTTCAAGGTAGTGAAACTGGCAAATCGCTTAACATCCGCTGGAATTTTATAATCCTCGAAATATTTCTGTATGGGTATAGTGGGTAAGATTGGGAGCCAATCTCTGAACGTGCCGAGAGTTGATATGTAACGACCACCGAAACTCCACAAACGTACCGTGCGATCCGCGCTACCGCTGTTGATTCGTTCAGATCTTCGAGATTTATCAAAATGTACCCAATGTCAATATTTTTATAATGCACCTACCTGATTATTATTCGTGCGCTATGAATAATTTGAAGAGAAGTAATTCCTCGCATATGACCGCGTACAGATGACAACAGGAGGGGCAGCGTCTGATTTCGCACCGCTCTTTTCGCTCTTCCGTTTATTCTGTCTTTCCACAAGAACGGAAATTCTAATCTCAGTAGAGGCATGCACACTTTCGGCGGATTTGGTAGCATGTAATTTGAGAGGAGCCAAACTTTTATATAGCCTATGCTGTGTCCTTTGAAGAAGCGTTTAAAAGAAAGGAAATTATTATTAATATTTGAGAAAGAATTTTGATATTCGAAGCTATAAAGAGTTGAGGATTTTTATTCAAAAAGATGTTAATTCTCAAATCAGTTTTTTAAAAAAATCTTAGGAAAAAAAAGAGAAAACCTGTTATGAGAAACTGATTTTCAGGATCAGTAGCTAAAGATGTCGCGCAATCGCCCGTAGCATGGATGATCGTGAAGGCTCCTAAAAATCCCGCCGCTGGATGATGTGTCCACACTTGCACCAAGCCGGAATCGAGGGCGACTAATAGCGTACCGACATTTGGTTTTACTTCTCGCGCAGTCAGAAAGATTATCGCGCGTACTGCCATCACGCGAATTATATTTAATGCTGACTCTTGATGAGCGCACGGAGTAAATTTTCTGTTTCACGAAAAATATATAGAGTTTAAATTATATATTTGAAAGATCTCTTTCATAATTACTAGTAAAATAATTTACTTAATTTGCTGATTTATAGATCTGTCCATATCATTAGATCGTATGAACTCTTTCCGCGCATTTGTTTCCCTCGTTACGTGCCTATTAAATCAATTAGCGTATTGCCTCCGTTTATGTGTTCAATTCTTGCTCATGACAATACCAAATTAGAGTCACCTTCTGCTAACATCGATCACTTGGTACTTCCTGAAAGGCTGACCCGTTTCAAGCCTCCAAAGAATCAATTCTCCATTATACGTTCCGGTGACTAGCAGCTGAGGAAATCTTACGGCTGAGCAAAGAATGTCGTCGGTGTGACTGATCGTCCAATTCTTTTTGCACATGTCAGACTCGAAAGCCGCCAATTCTGTAACGTATTTGTTCCAGCCGCAGCACAGGATTCGGTTTTCAAACCATATAATGCTGGTTATTTCGCTATGCAAAAAAAATGAGAATAATATAAAACGACAATTCATTATTTTAGAATGTTGTAACTTGTCTCTAAAGTATCATAACATTTGTAGAAAGCTATTATTTAGACATTCATTATTTAAACATCTATTATGTACCATTGATAGTCGATCATCATATTGTGTATACAGACACCGGTATTGAAATTCCATATTTTCAGCGATCCGTCTCTAGCACCGGTAATTAAAAATTGCTCAGAATCCTCGAAACAGGCCGCCGTGATCTCAATATCGGCGTATTGCCCGTATCGAATAATACTATGGGCATGTGTAATCAGACGTAAACGGTGTCCGGACCAAGGATCCCAAACGATGATACATGAATCCAATCCAGTAGAAATAATCTGCACATTAATATAGTAAGGAATATAACCGTTTTTTCGTGTAAAAGCAATTAACGCCAAATTTTTGAACAAATATAAAACAGTCTCTTACCACACGAAAGAGCTGATTGTAAAGAACGCAGCTAACACCTTTGGTGTGCGTGTAGCCATCCGAAGTTTCTTCGTTAATTACGTGCTCGCAAACAAGAACGGCTATCATCATGCTGGCAATGATCATCGTACGAGCCAGAGTATTAAATACTATGGTCATCGGAGCGTATTCGCTCAGCTCTCTGGGTAATTTGTAGTATGTCTATTCGAAAAATGTATATTTTCTATTTATTTTATATGTATGTATATATATACACATACATATATACATAATTATATCATTAAAAAATTTTCCGCGTAACTGCGGAATAGAATATACGAGGAAAAAATATTGTATTCGGCAATTGTAACTTCTCAACAACCTGAATGCAATTTTGGGCCGAGATATCCCACACTTTTATGCATCTGTCCTTCGACAAGGAATAAATACGCTTGCCGGCATCTATCACAACGAGTGCGCAAATTGTTGAATGGTGTCCCGGAAGTACGGCGTTCGCCTTTCCTGGACTGAAGGGATTCCAGACGCGGACCACACAATCCGGTCCACCCGTTACTAGCGTGTGGCTCTCTGATGAAAAAAAAAAGATAATGCTTCAAAATGAATGGACCGATCATGACGCGCTAAGTCGTCAAACAACAAGAAGCAACAAGAAAACCTTCGCAGAGCGCAAAGCAGGATATTCCCATCGGAATTTGGAACTTGTATTGCTTCCTCGTTGCGGTCACATCGAAAACGCACAGAGAACAATCAGCGCATTGGCTACTCGATATGAAAACTCGCAGGTTCCCATAATAAGCCACTTGGCTCGTCCAGTTTGTATGTATGTTCTTAAATCTCTCCGTGATTTCAAATCCTTGCAGCTCTCCCTAATTATAATAATTTTTTTGTAATATATTTTCCGCAAAGTGATAGTATACCTAATGTATATATTTTATTATAATCCTTGTATACCTTCATGACGTCGTCGTAACGAAGAATGGTCGCGTCACGGGTAGTGCGCTGCTTGAAAGGTCCTTTATCCGTAGGATTAAAGGATACGATTGTGACAGATCCACTTGTATCACCCAGGACAATATAGGAATTCTCCTTAATATTTACACTGAAGTAATAATGCATACAAACTACTGCGTTCTCCAAACTGGATATCTAGAAATACGTGAAATAACGTGTACGATTAATTAAAGTTGACTCGGATTAAAATTTTTGATGTTTCATAAAATCTATATTATCACTGACCAATACGCAAAGATCAAATTTCTTCGCCGCGGCGTCATAAAATCTCAACTCACATTCCGTCGAACTCGTGCATACTATCTGAACATCTGGCAGCACGATCATGTCGGTTATAACGGTCGATTGCACCTTTAAGTATACTATAAAAAAAAAGTATAAGTGCCGAAATAAAGTATCGGGAAGAAAGAGAGATAATTGAAGAGATACTAACGATTCTTGGATTGCACAGTGCGCTCATACTCGAGATCTAACGACCAATAATTAATCACCCCGTCCCGGCTTACAGTCAGGTAACAACCTCTGCGGAAACTCGTACTTCTGTCCTAAAGATTAATATAATAAATCCCTGTGAGATATACAACGTGATGAACAAAGATTTTTTTTTTGTTAAGAAAATCAAAAAATTTTAATACATATTGCACATTATAAAAAAAAGTTATCTCTTGATACAATGATGTTCCCTCTCTTTCTCTCTCTCTGGCAAAATGAAACGAGACATGATCGATTCGCGGATCAGACTCTGATATTCGTAGACATATATACCGGTAGAACTTCGGGGCAAAATGTAATTCTGCATACAGGAGTGCGATGATGCGTTCTTAATAATCTCGGTAGATCCGTTAACGGCGCTTCCAACATTTGTGATTTCACAGTGGTATCTGTGTCTCTAAATTCTATCAGCAAATAGGAAATAAATTCGTTCCACGTTACTTTACCATGGAGTCTTACATCTATCTGAAATTGATAATTATGTGAAATTCCAGAAATAATTAAAGTAATGATTGACTAACTTTCTTGAAAAGAATTTGAAACTCGTCCTGCGGTATTTTTATCTCGAGGATGTCTCGAAAAGCGTCGTACAGTTGAGAGGAATCCATATCCTCATTTTCTATCATCTAAATGCAAACAATATATTTTCATAAACTAATATTAATAAAGAAAAAAATAAGCATTTAATAAACGCGTACCAGAAAAGCATTATGTAAACGCATCAAAGATTGTTCGGTACATTGCTGTCTTATATTTTTCTTCTCGAAATATCGTTCGAATTCTTCTTGTATACTGCAACAATGATTATATATTTATAAATTGCATTGCGAATTGCAATAGACTATTTTTCCTCTAACCTCGGATGATTTTTACCAACAAACGCCATGGCAATTTTCTAATAAATAAAAATGTGATGACTGTTAATAGATCAAAATCATATTGCAAAATCGGAGCGTATTTACATCAATCAATTTTATTTATTTGTTTTTATGTTGAGGAGAAAATGTCAAAAATTATATCGAATATATATCGTGTCTCACATGATTAAGAACAAATACCAATCATATTTGTATGTACTGTTGTATTAATTGATTATTTCTATTGTACCGTTGAAAGCATGATAAGTAGTGTAGCATGATAAGTATGCAAGAAAATAAAATTTCAAATTTTATTAAATTAAATTTTATTTTATAAAATTATTTTTATTAAATTAAATTTTATTTTTTTTTTTTATTTAATTAAATTTTCTAACATCATGGTTGAAAGAAGAAATGACACGAGGGGAGAATAATCGATAAAACTCCGCATGTGTATGCACATACATATTACGTATAACTTGTATAAGGTAGACGTATATATCGTGTCTCACATGATTAAGAACAAATACCAATCATATTTGTATGTACTGTTGTATTAATTGATTATTTCTATTGTACCGTTGTGAAAGCATGATAAGTAGTGTAACATAATAAGTATGCAAGAAAATAAAATTTCAAATTTTATTAAATTAAATTTTATCGAAACTATTTTCCGTTCTGAGGAAATTTACAATCTATTGAGTATGGAGTTATTTACAGCTTTGAGCTTATTCAGTCGGCAAAAATACGAGGCGTGTGCCGCGATATGCACCGATTTGTTGAGGAAAAATCCGCTGGATCAGGTATACATTGCTTCTTTTTTATATACAGAGAATAGTAATTACCTATCTGTGAATTATTATGAAACTTGGGTTGCCAGGCCGTGTGGGTCTTGAAAATGCGTGCCTTAACATTGCAAGTCTACGTGGATGATATTGAAGGCGAGGAGGAGGGAATCGCGGAGACTCTGCTAGACAATTATGCGATATCGATGATGCCTAGGCCAGGGACTTCGTTGAAAAATCCCGGTACCAGTTACACCGGTCAAGGAGTACGGCCTAAATCTCAATCTGGTTTGTTGTAGCTCTCCTAAAAAATGCCAATTCGGATTTTTAGTCTGAGTATATTATAAATAAAATTGGGGATGATTTTATACTCTAAAGGTAGACCTGTTACCGGGGTAGTGCGACCTGCCACTCAGGCAGCGACGTCCCAATCGATTGAACAAGCACTGAAAACACCAAGAACAGCAATGACTGCCAGGCCGATTACAGCAAGTTCAGGACGTAGTGTTAGGTAAATATATATAACGTGTCTGTGTATTTAATATCAAGATTGAATGATTGAAAGAAGATTGAATGTGAGATCTTCGTCTTTTGAGACTCGGTACTGCATCGATGCTGACGGAGCCGGGTGGGCCCTTTATCCAGTTATCGCGCTTGAACATAACTAAATACGCTAATCAACAAAGCATAGCGAAACCGTTATTTGAATACATATATTATCATGAACACGATGCGAGATATGTGAGTCGTGCATATTATATACACATATGTATAGATTATTGAAACATATTGTGTTTTTTAAACTGATGTAAAATATCGCAGGCGTTGGACTTGGCCGTTCAGGCGACCCAAGTCTGTCAATACAAAGATTGGTGGTGGAAGGTTCAGTTGGGAAAGTGTTATTATACTTTAGGACTAGTGAGAGATGCAGAGCAGCAATTCAAATCGGCGTTGAGAGATCATAAAAATATCGAGACAATTTTGCGACTAATCAGGGTCTACATCAGGCTCGATCAGCCCTTGACCGCGCTGGACACTTGTAAGAGAGGCCTTGAGTATTTCGCGAATGATGTTACAATCCTCACAGAGATGAGTCGTATATTCGAGGGCCTGAATAATACAACGATGTCCATGAAATATTACAAGATGATCGCGCAAGAGGATGCTTCTCACAGTGAGGCAATTGCCAGTATAGGCATGCATCATTTTTACAATGATCAGCCGGAGCTAGCTTTGCGTTATTACAGGTATATATGTGTATATTAGATATAATATATGTACAATATGTATATATTTAAAACGCTGAAAATACAAGTAGATTGTTTTTTTTTACTTCACAATAAATTTATATTTTGTTTTTTACGAAACTTGTATTGCGTTACGTCTACTTGTATTTTTAGTATTTTACTCTTCTAACATTAAATTTCAATATATATATACATATATATTCCTCTTCCAGGCGTCTCTTGCAGATGGGTGTACACAATGCGGAGTTGTTCAATAACCTCGGGCTTTGCTGCTTCTACGCTCAGCAATACGATCATACTATATCGTGCTTTGAGAGAGCATTGAATCTCGCGACCGACGAGAACGTAGCCGATGTGTGGTACAACATTTCTCACATTGCCATTGTATGTATATACAATTCATAATCCATTATCTTAAAATACAAGCTATGTAGGATGTATGGCGATTGCAGACGTTAGGCGATTCAATAATGGCCGAGGAATGTTTGAGGCTGGCCATTGCGAGCGATAATAGACATGCTTTGGCTTACAATAATCTTGGTGTAATAGAAATGCGTAATGGGAATGTTACCGCAGCGCGAACTTATTTCCATGCTGCAGCCAACATCGCAAGCTATGTATACGAAGCGCACTTTAACAGCGCATATTTAGCTTACGAGGTAATTATTTCTGATTTGCTTCTATTATACAATATGCCGATTAATATTACACTCGTATATATTACATTCGTTTTATACATACACACAGGTTGGAGATCTACAGACGAGTTATATCGCAGTACAAAAATCGTTACTCGCCTATCCCGGACACTACGACAGTAAAACTCTTTTGCAGAAATTGCAAAGATACTTCTCGCATATGTAAGATAAACAACGAAAAAGATATTTCTCATTTTACACTAGATTGTTTTATTCAATATTGTATATAACATATTGTTTTTTAAACATAATTTTCTATATATACATAATGTACATATACAGTAAAATACAAATTATGTTTGAAACTTCTACATCCCGTCTGCTATTATTAAAAAATTGTGACTTGAGTAAAAAAAAAAAAATTACTAAAATTTATGGAAGTATAGGAAGTATTCAAATGCAGTTCAGAATCAATGATATAAGCAATCATCATTAATACTACATCGCGTATTTTCTCTTATTAAATCTGTATAAATATTAGATACGTTTAACTAAAACATAGACTGAGATTTTTATGAAACAACGATCTTAGTCTATATTTCAGTACTAATCTGATAATTTTTCCATTTTTCCACTAAAAAAAGGTATATTTTGTACAATAAATTTAGCTCAATCGTAACATGCATTTAGTAGGATTAGAATATAGTTAAAAATCTTATAATTGACATATTGAATGATAATCTAAGGAGATAATAAATACTTGTCTACTATATATATATGTGTGTATTATTCACAAAAGCACGATATTGGAATATATTCAAATACGAAACTTGAAAAATATCATGTATGATATACTTGCATTTCCTTCTGCCCTTTCTCTTTTTGTCTTCCGAAATTCAGAAGGTCCAAGCAATGCGACAGTCTTATGACAGATTAATTATAGTATTACACTTTATGTAGTGTGGGATATAACTAGCCACGATATGACAAAATAAAAAAGAAAAATTGGATATACTGCTAACGCTTTCCTTCCTGTGGGTTGACTATCGCCAAGGAATGCCATAGATGCTAAAATATTAACATAAATTTTAATATATTTATTCAGATAATAAAATTATACTGAGACATATAAGTTTCCTAAAAATTAATGTAATGTAAAATCGATACTATACTTACCATATGTTGCCCACAAAAATCCAATCATAGTGATAACGAATCTCAGAATGAATAGGAGAGTGCTTTGCTGCGCTATTAGTATAATTCTGCATAAAATTAATGCAATGGCAGTCGGTAATAGACAATATCCTAGGACACAAACACTTTGGAAGAAAGATCTGCAAATTTGAATTGTTGCATATATTTAAAAAGAGAGAGATATAATTATTACCATAATTATAAAACAATTAAGTTAAAATTTACATAGATATACATAAACATGTAGTCCAACTTACATATTTCCACCCAATAGCTTTGAATTCAATGTAACAACCATAGATCCAATCCATACAATAACAAATACTTCCGCAAATTCAGGTCCTCCATCATTTGAATTATCTGTTGCATCAGTTGAACCTTGTAGTATCCTAAATAGCAATTATAAATTAATGTAAGTATAATTTATAAATTTTTTATGCATGTATATGTAATATTTGCAGATATATCTTACATTGCCATAAATGTACATAATATTAATGGTCCCCACAGATCCCCTGAAATATATTATATATTGTAATTAATTTGTTTTAATACCATAGATAAGTATTATTTGTAGACTCACATTCTTTTAGTAGACTTTTTTTCTCTTTAGGATATAAAACATGGAAAAACTTCTTGCCTACTGCTCGAACATCCCTCAACTATATCAAACAGAAATAATATAAAATTTAAAAAATATATATATATATATATTACGCTACACAAAATAAATTTTTAAATTGCAATAAAGAGGTATATAACAATATATACTTACAAATGTATCTTTAATAGGTTCGTCTAATGTATTAAATCCCGGCTCTCCTAAAGTTGATTTCTGCTTTGTACCTATTGTCATCTCACCCTCAACATGTTGAGGATCCACAGTATATGTAACATCATCGTACATCTGTTAAAAACGTAATACAAATATGGAATATTAAATCTGACACAAATTTTTTGTACAAAAATATATCTCTAGAAAAATTGTACTCCTAGTATTTATCGTGACAGAGAAAAATTTTTAATTTTAAATTTCAAAATATTATGACATTCGTTACATTAGCAACAGGGTGATACTTACGTCGAGTTTTGTCTCGCCGTCCATCGCCGCCATGTTTACTGCCGACGCAGACATAAATTATTGCGAGGAACTAGAAAGATGCGCGTAGCGTCGACGATCCCGAGGATGATATACTTTAAACATATCGAGAAAAAGTCGTCACGTGTACAGCCGATTGACACTTTGTGTATTACATGCTCGTCGAATACGCGACATTTTCTTACCTCGCAGATTTACACTTGCGACTCGCTATTATCGAGAACGACATGAAACCATGAAGATTACGCTGCATTTATGTTGGATTATTTGTGATGTTGTGATCGCTGATCGGCCGATTTAGCGAATCAAGACGAATCGCCGATGATAATCCTCGACGATCCGGAGAGCTGGAAATGACATTCGGCTGGATAAGAAATCCTCGGTAGATGGCCTCGGTATCGTAAGTAGTGAAGATTGCAGCGTGGCTGTGTTCGAATAACATATCAATTAAATCGCGCGATTAATTTATCTTGATGATATCGCGGTGAAGCCGCGATCGATCTGTGACATCGCCTGCTTGCTGGCAGAATTTTCTCACGATGTTCCAGTGGTTCCAATCACGAATTCATCGGCGAGTTTTCGTTTACGTTGTGATCGTGATGACATTGACAGCTATCGCGCATGCGCAGGTGGAAACTGACGGACCAATCATCAGTGAGCCGCAAAAGAGCGGCGAATACAAATCCGATGAAGAACTATGTATCTATCGAATTTCATTTTTCTTTCTTTCTTCTCTGCATTTCATTAACTCTATTACTCATAACTGTCTTCTATATATTTAAATTCTTCTCTCTGTCTTTTCAAAGTATGGATGTGTTGTTTCAATCTTAAATATATAAAGTATATAAAGGTATAGCTAAGAAAAACAAAGCTATTTTTATCATTGCAAAGCAAAAGTCTATTTATTGGAGAATAGATTAAAGCACTTTACTTTTATTTTATTATATATATATTATTTTATATCTTAATTATTTTAAGTTGCGAAATTAATAAGCAATTAATCTGTATGACATCTATTCTATTTATTTTTATAACACAGTCAAGAAACTATTCGCCCAACGGCGCAAGGATCATATAGAAGTTATACAGACACTCCTAAAGATGGACAATTACGAGCGCCTGTACAAAATGATCACGGTATTGGCTGAAAAAATAATGGAAGTCATCGCATCCAGTAAAAATGTCATCGAGAAGGCCGGTTTCGTGCCGGATAACAGCTCTTTTCCAAAAGATACCAATGTGAAAGACGGTACAATTATATAATTATATATATTTGTGGTGAATGTAATCTGAAATCATTGAAAAAATTAAGTAAAATTATGATAATAGAGATATATTTATCGCAGCATTGTCTAGCATCTTAGAGAACACCGCGCTTTTCGGGGACATTATTCTGCATCTACCGGACATTACTCACAGGATACTGAAAATGCAGCAAGGATGGAATCTCACGATACACTGGTCCTTGAACTTCACCAATCAGATGCGCCACTTGCTGAACAAATCGACCAACACAATGATCCACCTAGTCAAGCAAGAAATGAATATCACGGAACGAGATCCGAGCTATTTTAATCCGTATAGGAGCGCTATCCACGCTGGATACCAACGTGAAGATACCGTGAAGAAGAAGAAGCCTGTGAAGAAAGAAAAGCGTAAAAAGGGACCGCAGATTGCTAAAATCGAGTTGTGATGAGCCGTCCTCGCTGCAAAAGGATTCTTCTGACCGGTTCCTAAATCACCTCATTAAGAGTCCTACGACGTGATGTTAAGATCCTAGGAAAAATGGATTCTATGTTTCATCCTATATCACTCAAAATTAATAGTAATGAGCTTCCCACAATAGCATATTTCGATAAAAAGATTCATTATATATTTTTAATGTCTATATAATAGTATACAATTGTGATTAATAGGATAATTAAGATTGTGCGAGCTTAAGAATAATATCTATATTTAGTAATATTGTTGGATTACGCGAACATTGTTATATATATCAAACGCGAGGATTTCGATAAAAAAATCTCTTTTTCAACATTAAATAAAAATGCTACAACTATACAATTACAAATCACATTTCTACTTGCGTAGAAACAATGATTGCGTCCAACAAATATGATCATCGTTGATATAATTCCATACAATTCGCGTGATCTCGCGATTTCTGGCGAGAAAAGATCGCCGCGGGGCAATCTATCCCTGTTTTGAAAGCGAGACGAGCGAGGCGAGGTGCTCGAAGGCAGCTTTAACCGTGAGCAAGCTGTGAATCTCACGCTGCGACATACGTGCTACGTCGTGTTTGATATGAGAGAGACACGCTTTTCTCGTCGATTTACGGCGGCGGGCCGATAGAAAGTGGTCAGCCAATGTGAGCTGAGAACGGTACCTCGTCGGCCAGATCCCGAGAAGTGCCGCGCCGGCGGCGATGGCGTATATCCGACAGTGTCGCGGCAGCGGATCAGCCCGGTAGATCGGTTGGTTGCAATCGGCTAATGATACGTCCCCGTGATCGCGGTGATCGCACGAGTTGAACGAGGCTGAACGTGCGAGCAAAACCCGAACGGAACACGGTTTCTTGTCCGAATATTGAGACGCGGAACGATGAGACTCCAGGAAGCGGCGCTCCTCTGCGCCGTCTTGACCATCGTAACAGGTAGGCGCGCCCTCGCTTATTCCGTCGATCACCTTTCTCTCTGTTAATTTGTTCCTGTTTTGATAAATCGGATTATATCCATCCGCATGGGAAAGTCGGAAAATGAGAAAAATTGTTTAAATTCTCACTCGGCGCCGCGCGACGTTTCTCTCTGACATTTCTATGTTACTCAACATATAATAACCATTTTCCGGATATTATGAAATTTCAATTCAAATTTTTATTGATACTGATAATAAAATTCCTTTTGCTACTAACGTAGCAATTCTTGACGTATCGTTCGTACCTAGCAACAGACTTGCTTTCCAAAAATTGCGAAATTCCAAGACGATTGTCTAACATTGCATAAAGTAAAGATGAAAGTATATATATTGACTCGATAGTCTAGCTTCTCGCTAATTCCTCGGAACTACGTCTGACTAGTTCTAGCAGATCGTCACTGACGTATTATTTTTGCCCTTTTTTCTTTGAGTCGACGATATCCTTCAAGGAACATTCTCCGGCATACTCTTTTCTTAGTTCTCTCTTTATACTTCTTCATGGCCAATATTTTTATCAATAATATTATACGCGCGGACAAAGAAGTATATAATTATAACAATTTATAAATAATTACATATTAATTAGCTCGCTCTCACATCCTACGTTTATACTATATATTACCGAGATATATAAACTTCCTGAAAATAAATACTTATTTAATTAAAAAATCGAAAGAAGTATTTCATATTTAAAAATTGACCTGTAGATTATTATATATATGTAGAAAGAGATAAAAAAATATATATTTACTTGGTAATAAAAATTTTTTGACAAATTTGTAATAAAATAAAAATACAAAAAATCCGCGAGGAAACGAGAGATGACACTGGCGAATTCAGTACATCAACGAGGTTTCACTCGCGTTTACATAAGATTTGTTTTACGCGCATATGGTGTACATACGCGTGTGTGTACATGCACACGTGCAGCCGCACACGTGTGCGTATGTCTGAACGATAAAAGGAAATGTTGCACCTGAGCGAGAAAACAACGTCATTGCCAACGTACACTGGTACGTGTACCTTCACTTTCCACTTTACCATTAAATGAATCTTTTTGACATCCGCGAGCGCGCGGGCACCTCTCTTGATAAATGCATCGTTATGCCTTTGTTGCTGTTATCCTGCAAAAAATAAATCAATTGAAGAAAAGCTTATTTGCAAAAATGCATTTTGTTAAATTCATTATTCATGAAGAATCAGACAAATTAAAAGGGAAAGAAAGGAATTGCGAAATCTCATTGATATATCCTGGCTTCACAAATTAGGAATTTGTTCAACAAGAATAAATTCTTGTTTGTTTTAAGCAATCTTTTTTTTTTAATAGACATCCGCTACACTATGTCAGGAAGTCCGGCGAAAATTAGTTCGCCGATTTCGCGGCATTGCGGAACTTTAATTACAGAATGCGATTAAATTACACGATTATCGAGTGTCTCTTCAGATGTAATCTCTGATCTTGTATCGAGAATGCAGTAATAATTCCTCTGCGAATCATGTTATTATTTTACCTCATCGTTTCCACGAGATTTAAATGGAATCATTAATTGGCATTAACTGGCATGCGTATATTTAAAAAATATAATTTTCTCGTGATTAGATGTGCGTAACATTATCTAATTTTAATTTAATTACAATATTATTAGAGCAAAATGGAAGCGGCGAATGAAAAAGTGCTACACGTAACGATTATAAGGTCACTGGGAAGAATCTTTGCAGGTGCTACTTTCTCTCTGTATGTCAGCTCTTGCACATCATTTTTAATATCTTCGAATCTCCATTGATCATGCATCGTACAGTTTCTCTCATTATATTCGCGTGTCTCTCATCGTATCTCTTCCTATTTCCGTCTTATTGATTCTTATCTAAATTTCAATGTTAAGTTTAACATATTTAAAAAAAAAAAACGTATGTTTAATTTATTGTTAAGAAAAATGCGAGATATTTAAAAACTTTGCATTCTTATTTAAAAAATATAATTTTCTCGTGATTAGATGTGCGTAACATTATCTAATTTTAATTTAATTACAATATTATTAGAGCAAAATGGAAGCGGCGAATGAAAAAGTGCTACACGTAACGATTATAAGGTCACTGGGAAGAATCTTTGCAGGTGCTACTTTCTCTCTGTATGTCAGCTCTTGCACATCATTTTTAATATCTTCGAATCTCCATTGATCATGCATCGTACAGTTTCTCTCATTATATTCGCGTGTCTCTCATCGTATCTCTTCCTATTTCCGTCTTATTGATTCCTATCTAAATTTCAATGTTAAGTTTAACATATTAAAAAAAAAAACGTATGTTTAATTTATTGTTAAGAAAAATGCGAGATATTTAAAAACTTTGCATTCTGCATAGCTTTCAAGCATATTCGCTTATTGCTACGAGAATGTATATTACGAGTCTTTTTGCGAAAACCTGTCCATTTTTTGCGCACATTGTGAATGCGAACATACAATCGCGCATGTGGAATAATTAAAGAGTTCTTTCGGCACTTGAAAATTCTTGGCCCGTTCTCCGTGTAAAATGTATACGATAAATACTTAACTGGCCAAAAATAACGATGCATCACGCGATAAAATAAACCCATAGTGAATTTAAACTTCTACATTAACATTTTTTTGCGAAATTCAAATTAACATTTAAAAACAATAATCGAAACTATTTAGTATCTCCCACAGTAATAAAGTGTGCGCTGATATTTCATGCATGACAGTGGTGAAACTTTAACATTCTATGATGTAATTTTAACATCCAATATATGTATAGATTTCTATTTGAGATAATTTCAAATATCCGACTTGAAAACACGATGAAACACAGGTAAAATGGATTTTAAGATATGCTAATGCCTGGAAATTCATTTTACTATGTGCTTACGCGATACGCGTCTCTCTTTTTATACGCTTCTAACACATTTGCATTTCGCCGAAAGGAGCATGAATACTAGCGGTCCGAACATTTGTTCGTGCGCATTCACGTGTCCAAACATATTGGAATGCCCACAATCATGCGTTTCTCGCTTTCTCAAACCTCTTTTCTGGAATTTCTCCCGCCTATATTTTCTACACACTTTCTGTATATACGCGAGGTATCATTCTTATCTCTTTGTCTTGATGATGTAATATATAATGCTACTGATAGTCAATCAAAATCGAAATATATATATGAGAGTTAAAATGTCGCAATTCTTAACATTCAATTTCTAAAACGCATTTTATGTGTAAATTTAATAATTTAATTGAAAAGGAAATTATGAAAAAAAAAAAACTTTTAAGTTGTTATGCGACTTCCAGTTCGTATAACAACCATCCATTCATTAAAGTCACCGCTTTATAGCTGTTAATCGTAATGGTGCGGCTCTCGGAGCGTAACAACGGTTGACAGAAAGAACGCGGTAAAAGTGGAACGTAGGTATTTGATTGAGTCAATTGATCTCATCCACAGAACACAAGAGCGCAAATACACTCGAGCATAAACGTGTTTAGAACAAGCGATTCCAACCTTGACATTTCCTCGGCTCAAGCATGGCTTTCGAGCACATTTCTCAATTACTTATACGATTGTAAGATCGCGTGTGATCTGTTCCTAAAAAAAATTTTTAGATTCGCTTTTTTCGGAATCGGAATAGATTGCTAAAATTTTGTCAGCCTTGCGGACGAATAAAAATATTTTGACGAGCGCAACAAAATGAAATTTGGCTTCGTGCGCGAAGTTGATTAATTGAAATGCTTCTCGTTACTTTCACGAGAAGCATATTTTTCGCATATATATGAAAAATTGTTACCTCGTACACATCCCTTTTTATATTCAAATTCTCGCCTTTCTCTATTTCAGTGCATAGTCAAAAGAGCAAAAAGGACGAGGATAAGAAAGACGAGGAGTTCAGGTGTCCAGAAGGCCAGGGTAATGGCAACTTCGCCGATCCGGCAACATGCAGAAGATTTTATCAGGTAATTACATAATCATTTTCATCATTGGTTTACTATGATTATTCGCATTCGTAATTATATCCTCTTATTTTGTTTTTCGGAAGTGCGTTGATGGATACCCGTATCTGAACCGATGTCCATCAGGCTTGCACTTTGACGACATCAGCAAGTTTTGCACTTTCAAAAACGAGGCGCGATGCGGACCCATCGAGACTAGTAAGCAAATATTTTTATCACAAAGTTATAAGCCTTCTGAAAACAAATCGTCTAATCATTATACGATTACTTTTCGAGCGAGTCTTCACTCCTAATTTTCATTCATTCGTCGAAATGTAATTTTCCTGAATTTTGATAACGGTATCTTTTAATTTCTAGCACCAGCACCAATAACCGAGCCACCCACGGATTTAGCCGAGCGTTGCGACACGGCGAACTGCCAGCTTCCATATTGTTTCTGTTCCAGAGACGGTACGATCATTCCCGGCGGTCTTCAACCAGAGGAGGTAAAATGATAATCCAATTGCGGATCTTCCAATGATTTACAGCTTCTAAAGATCTATTCAAACATATAAATACAATATACACATATACAATTTGAACCTTGAATTATTCTAGACGCCACAAATGATAATAATGACGTTCGATGGTGCGATAAATCACAACAACTTCGATCACTATCAGAAGATATTTACCCAAGATCGTCTGAATCCTAATAATTGCCCGTTAAGGGGCACGTTTTTCATCTCTCACGAGTATTGCAATTATAATATGGTCCAGAGCTTGGCGCACGACGGTCATGAAGTTGCGACCGAGACGATCTCGTGAGTGGATATATTTAAATTGCGTCGAAATATTCGTTATGATGATAAAGCAAATATCTTTCAGACTTCAGAAAGGCTTGGAGGACAAGGGCTACGAAGAATGGGTAGGCGAGATGATCGGGATGCGTGAAATACTGAAACGTTTCAGTAACATTTCGACCAGTGAAGTGGTTGGTATGCGAGCGCCTTACTTAAAACCTGGTCGCAACACTCAGTACAAGGTGCTTGAGGACTTTGGATACATATACGACAGTAGTATAGGAATCTCGCCATTAAAGGTGCCGATCTGGCCATATACTCTCGATTATAAGATCCCGCACGAATGTAAGGCGGGCACCTGTCCCACCAAATCCTTCCAAGGTAATGAAAGTGTGATGAAGATTCAGTTTCGTCGATGTAAAATATGAATATAATAACTACTTGAAGACTAGAACTGCAAAATAGAAAATAGAGAAAACGTATTGTTATTTCAATAACAGTAGCATCTTTGATATAGTATCTTTTTAAAGAAATATTTAGAAAATATTAATTGAGTATTATCATAGGTATTTGGGAGCTACCCCTAAATGCGCATTATGTGGAGAGTTATGAAGGTGGACATTGTCCTTATTTGGATCAATGTGTGCTTCACAATCATGATCCCGAAGAAGTATTCGAGTGGTTGCAAGAGGATTTTAATAGATATTACGAACAGAACAGAGCGCCATACATGATGCCCTTCCATACTAATTGGTTCCAAATTAAGGAGCTTGAACGCGGTCTGTCGAAATTTCTCGATTGGGTGGTAACACTGTGAGTGAAAATACATGAAACATATTCTATCAAGAAATATTCTCAAAACATTTTGAAATATTTAATAAAATATTTATTTTTTTAATAAAGTAATTGATGGATATTTTTACAGACCAGATGTTTACTTTGTAACAGCCACGCAAGCATTAACATGGATGACTGATCCAAAACCGATTAAAGCTCTGCATAATTTCGAAGGATGGTCATGTAAGAAGAAAGAGAACTTGCCAGGTCCACCATGCAACAATCCACATAAGTGCGCTTTAGACTTTAAACCTGCCGAAGCAAATTTCACAACAACGAGGTAGAGATTGATTTAATTTTATGCATTACACAATTACTTAATACTTATTACTTTAGTTAAAATTGTAAAACTATTCAAAATTATCACTATATTTATATTAACAGGTATATGGAAACATGTAGAGAATGCCCAAATAAGTACCCCTGGTTAGGAGATTCTAAGGGTACAGGACTATACAATGACAATTATAATCCTGAAAAGAAATAGAAACCTCATTTAATTGAATTAGATTTAATTCTAGCGCAAGCAGATCGCGTTTCGTCCATTGTTATCAAAATGAATGTTGTGCATACATGATAAATCTGTTATCAACCACATCAAGCATCTTACTTTTTTCAGTATTGGAACAATTGGAACAATTTTATGAAATATTAATTCGTATCTTTCAGATGTATATAAACTTATACTGCTATTCTTACATAGAGTATATACTCGACAATCATTCACAAGCATCGATAACATTAAGTGTATACTACTCAATCTGAAAGAAAAAATAAAATGTTTTGATGCTATATAAAATTCTACAAAAATCCACCTGTTAGTCTGAGGATAATCTGAAATAATCACTCTATATTCTCTTATTTATCTTAGTTTTTGAAGATAATGTATCCTGTTTTTTTTTATTACTATTGTCACAACACAATATATTTTATATATATTTTATAAATTTTATTAATATGTATATACACACATTATATCTATATTTATTGCATTGAACTGCACTGTCTGTCTGCATGAGAGAATACATAATCAAGATGCTGCAGTCACTTCTAATATATTGTAATAATTACCTAACGAATTGGACACCACTCCTGAAGTACTTCGCTATATTTCACACGTACTAAAAAGAAGAAAAATAATAACTCATATAACATTTTAAGTCAGTTTGATCAACCAATAAGTGGTTATTCTTCTTCTTAATTATGTATAAATACATTTCACATAATACAAATTAAAAGTTAATTTATCTTTTATTTAATATACATTTTATTATCTCTTTTTGAGGATATAGAAAGAGATATATTACCTGGTTCAGGAAAGAGTTCTGGATGTCGTATGATATAATCCCTTAGTTTAGTATCATGTTCTGCCTGATAATCATCAACAACTTTCTTAATAATTTGCGATGCAACATATCCTACTGCCATTGCTGTAAGATGTACTTGTATTCCTGAATATATATTATTCATTAGTCTAATGCTGCACTGCTAAAAATTGACTGCATAAAGTCTACAACAACTACAAGAACTACAAGAACAAGAACTTTATGCAATTTTGTTATCTATCAGAAATTATCATAAAAATATCAGTGAAAATTTTTTATAATATATATAAAAATAAAGAATCATTAACTGCTTCAAACTGTTTGTCACACACACATATATACATAAACTCAAGCACACACATTATATAATAGCGTGATGAGATCAAGTTGCAAGAAAAAAAGAGAATGTAACATATCGTGTTTATGATCTCGTTAAAATATTGTATAATTACTCACCCGCATAATACGGCCTGCGGTTAAACCAATTTGTTAAACATGCTATTGAAAAACCACTTCCCATACATATTACTTCTCCACAATATTTTTGCATTACACTGAGCTCATAAGCGGGATCTGGTTTAAGCAATTCCAGAGCCCATTGAACTTCAGGATGTTCACTTATCTCATGTGTATGATGTTTACTCATTCTTGCGAACTATTCTAGGAACGAAATAACAATCACAAGGAGCGAAATGCTCCGCTTTGACAAACCACAAGTCCGGAGTCGCGAATGCACGGCAGTGAATGAAAACTATGGAAATAATCGAGCATGGATCGATTCATAAAAATATATAATTTCTATGATCGATTCGAAAGATAGTCTGTGGCGATCCTGTGGCAATCTAGGAAATTTACCATCGTCACTAACTTGCAAAAGTGGGAGAGGTTCACTCGAACTGATTGGGCAACCACTCATATCGATCGATGCCTAGGGTAATCAGCACGATTGACCAATCAGAGGATCTCATTTTCAACTGGCCAATAAGCATTATGTACAATTGATATATACCTGGCAAAAGTGACGAGCAAACTCCAAATAGAGACCTCGCGTGGTGACCATATGAAGCGCTCGATTGTCAATCACGTTAATCACGTTTGCGCTGACACAGCTGATTATTATGACAGATCGGCTGCTGCTGACATAGCAAACAAAGTGGGAGTTGTTTAGAGCGTAGCTGAGTCAAAACGATAATGTGTTTCCGATGACATTTTATATCTATTTTTTTAGATAAAGCTTTATTACGCATCGTTTTTAATATGTGAGCCTTCGAAAAATCAGTCTCTCTCGCATCATTTATTCGTGTGAGACGTGAGATAAAACATAAAATATACTACATCATATTAAATCATAAACAGGTATAATACTTGATAATAATATTGTAGAATCGCTTGAATTAATTCGCACGCAACCGAACTCTTTGTTCTGATTCCTGCATAATCATGCTAGTTAATTAAAATACGTCATCTGACATCAGTACCAGTACGTTGTTTTTGTTTTGCATATAGACAAGATGCTTTCACACATCACGTTTGTGATTCTATCGTTTTTCTCCACTGCATTCGGTGTGATACATTATCAGCCAGAAGCTGTACATCTTTCCTATGGTGGTAAGTTTTATTATGCCGATACATATATAAAATTGCTAAACTCTTTAAATCAGAAAGTATTATAATCTAAAACAAATGTTAAGCCTCTTAGTTCTCTGTGTATTTGAATAATAACTAAAAAGATAATATATACGCATGTATCTTTTGTGTATAATTTTTAGATAACATTCACGATATTGTTGTCACCTGGAGCACAAGGAGCGATACCGAAGAATCAATAGTAGAATATGGCATAGGGGGCTTTGTTTTGCGAGCTGAAGGAAATTCTACTCTTTTCATTGATAGTGGTGAGAAAAAACGGAAACAGTATATTCACAAAGTATGGCTAAAAAATTTAACGCCCAACAGCAAATATAGTAAGATATACATTGTGTACTTTACTATTTATTACTGATTAAAATTATATTATGGCAGTATTAATAAACTTTTACCATGTATCAAACAGTATATCATTGCGGTAGTCGCTATGGATGGTCAAATGTATTTTATATGAGAACCGTGCCTGAAGACTCTACAGATTGGTCACCGCAAATAGTTATCTTTGGTGATATGGGTAATGAGAATGCACAGAGTTTATCACGCCTACAGGAAGAGACAGAACGTGGTTTATATGATGCTGCTATTCATGTTGGCGATTTTGCTTATGATATGCATACTGATAATGCCCGCGTAGGTGATGAATTTATGCGGCAAATTGAATCTGTTGCTGCTTATATCCCATACATGACTGTACCTGGAAATCACGAAGAGAAATATAACTTTAGTAATTATAGGTACACGCCTGAATGATTCCACGCAACTTGTTGCCGATATTTTATTTAATACTTGCAAAAAATTTAATTATATTTTAACCATCTCTTCTAGGGCCCGATTCACTATGCCAGGTGATTCGGAAGGCTTGTGGTATAGCTTTAATATGGGTCCTATACATTTCATTGCTATAGAAACTGAAGCTTATTATTTCATGAATTATGGTATAAAACAAATGATTAAACAATACGAATGGTTGGATAAGGATCTACAAGAAGCAAATAAACCTGAGGCAAGGTATGTGAACAATTCGACATTAAAATGATAAAAATGGACAGAAAATTTGTGATTACAGGGCTCGCCGACCATGGATAGTAACATTCGGACATAGACCAATGTATTGCAGCAATGCAAATGCGGACGATTGCACTAATCATCAAAGTCTGATTAGAGTCGGATTACCATTTTTAAATTGGTTTGGTTTGGAGGATCTATTTTTCAAATATAAAGTGGATTTAGAAATCTGGGCACACGAACATAGTTATGAAAGATTGTGGCCCATGTATAACTTTCAAGTAATTGTCCAACCAATCGTATTACTTATATATTTTAGAAAAAAATTCACGCTCTTAGTAATAATAAAAATTATAATCATATAGGTGTATAATGGTAGTTATGAAGAACCATATAAAAATTACAAAGCACCTGTACATATAATTACTGGTTCAGCTGGTTGCAAAGAAGGTCGAGAGAAGTTTGTTCCCGATCGACCAGCATGGTCCGCATATCGCAGTTCGGATTATGGATACACAAGAATGAAGATGTTCAACAAAACTCACTTGTATCTAGAACAGGTATGGCATGAATCAATTTCGAATTAATGTCGCTTTTTTTAATAAAGTTATAAAACTTTTTTGTTTCTGTTGTGAATAAATGTTGTGAAAATTTCTGTTGTGAAGGTATCCGATGATAAAGAAGGTGCTGTTATAGATAGAGTTTGGCTCGTGAAAGAGAATCCTTTACCACAGTATGTAGAAGTTTCTCCTTTAAAATAATATAAACGTGATTTTAATTAACCATGTGACAAAGTAGAAAACATAGACAAGAACACGTTAAAAAAGTTTTTCAAGCAATATTGTTAATAAGATTTTTCCTTCACTTTGGCTGTATATGTATAATTTTACAATTGTAATTCAAGTTTAGTACATATTTTATGTAGGCTGGATAACATTACGGTCGAAATGTATACATGAACAATAAAATATTAGCGTGATTTGCATATAAACAAATAAAAAATTAGCAAATGCAAAAGTATAATATAGTATTAATAATATATAGTATTAGTGTATAAGATTTCATATCCATCTAGTTCTCATAATTAATTACTAGTTAATGATACGTAAATAACAAATAGCCTTGACTGTTTATCAGAAAATCTTTTCGATTTAAAATTCGTTATAATTAGACATGTGTGAGTTTCTCGAAATTTTACATATCACATCTTTTGCAACTTTATTTCGGGTAGAAATCATTCGAGCTATTATGTTCGGATCGCTCTTATTTATATAATTATATGACAAACATATTTTCAAGCTAAATAAATTTTTAAACCTGTAGCTTTTATATATTCTATACATTCGTGAATTTTCAAAGAATGCAAAAGTAGTTTATCTAAATGATATAGATTAAGAGTCCTGATAGGTAAAAATAGGGTAATGGTACACATAGTTATGTGATTATTCTATATTTTCATATTTGCATTTGAATGTAATACATTATTTGCACTAGGAAATAATCGTTCACTAGGCACTTTGATCACAATTATGCACAATTCATTTTGTGCCAATACCGTTGGTCTAGCAACGATTTCAGTTTTACGAGTAAAGAAGAGAAAGATTCACATATTTTGTCACTGTCCATTAAAGAAATATTTTTACATAACAATTATATTTTTAAACGATTTTTTGAGATTAAGTATTTAAAAAAAAAAAACCGTGTTTTTTTTAACGAGAATAGAAACATATAAATGTATAATATATAATGATGCAATTGATATATAAAACATTACTTTTTATTATACGTGATCTAGAATATTGATAGATAGATTTTTTGCTTTAAAAACGTATTACTCAATGAAGGAACAGACAAGCTGTAATATATTGAAAAGCAGTACCTCTCTCTCTCTCTCTCTCTTAAAGCTCCCATTTCTCCACTTTCTAAGCTATATTAGATAACTATGGAATTGAATGTTTATTATGCTTGAGCTTTTTAAGCTCATAATGTAAGCTCATGATCCAATGATTAGAATATCCAATTGTAGCAATGTAATAGAGAATTTAAATTTTAAACATATTTCCTATTTACACAGTACATATATATCCCAATAAGTTAATATATTTTTAATATCTCGGCAGTTTTATCTCACATATACAGAGAGAATAAAAAAAAAGCTGAAAATACTTAAGCTACAAGTTTCTTTTAAACAACTCTTCTATTGTTCCGAGCAATATTCCAAAAATAGTCGAACATTTCTTTCAAATAAGTGCTTTGAACTTTATACAGTTCACAATTTTCGAATACTCGCACATCTCTAATTATTACCAGTCATAATAATGACGACCCTCATAAGGCTAAAAAAATGATCTCAAATTTATACAATATTCAATTAAAGCTGATATTTTATTACGATTCTACTTTCGCAATGGACAAACCATTATTTTTTGTCTGGCTCTTTGCCAGTTGTAATTTTTTTACTTTGGCATCTGCCGTAACAGTCATCTACTGAATATTAAAAAAAAAA